TGGTCTAGACTATACATACAGGAATCTGATTGCTGATCACCTGCAGTCAAGGCTTCCCAATATTCTTGCATTAAATAGAAATACATATACATCCACTATTGCATATAGGTGTCCTTTTATGACACAGAGAATAGCTGCGATTCAACGGATCTCAGCTATTCTCTGGTCATTCACAGTTTATGACACTCAGGAGATCATGTCAGCCCTTCACTGGAGATCTGTGTTCTCCCTCCAGATTCTCCAGCCCAGAGCTGGAGAATCGGAGGGACCGAAAACTAAGCAGAGATAATTTACCTCTGCTTAGTAAACTGATCTTTTACTGTAATCTCGCGAGATTATAGTAAAATCAGCCGTTTTCCAGAGTTTGTAGACCGTTCTCCAGCGTTTGGAGACCGTTCTCCCTTCGTTCGGAGAACTGCTTCATAAACTGCATTCACAGGAGAACTGTGTTCTCCGAGAATGAAGGAGAACTGAGCAGCGATCTATTACCGCTGGTTCATAAACGGACACCATAGTGATCCCATTGTTATTACCTAGGAGGCAGTACAGCCCTTTTCTGGTCTCTGGCTCCATATCTTTGCTCTGGTAAAGGAGAACAGAGAACCGAATGAAAGTTTCCAAAACTGACTGTAAAGTCACAGAGATTTCTCTGCATGGCCCTATCCATGAAGATTGTAGGTAATCTAATCAAACTCAGCATTTTGGGATGTAATAAAATTCTGGGGAGCATTTCAGTACTATATGTATGATGGTGCATTCATGTTGCTGTACTTGTAGGCTCATGTGCCACGGCCCTAAAAACTGATCAATCTGAGCAATCCGAGGTGCTGACCCTCAGGCATCTGCCTCAGCTGCCCACTTGTATTGATCTGCTTGAGTCAGGTGGGAAGATGTCCCACAGACATGTCCATCATCATTTATCAAGGGGAAACCAAGATTAACTGGGTGAGGTTTTTCTAACCTTACCACTTTCTCCCCAAGGAGACTTGGCCATTTGGTGTTGATGGGTATCTAATAGTTATGAGCTTACCGTGCCATCATAACAGGTTCTGATGCCTACTTTCCCTTATGTCTCTTTAAACCCTCAAACGTAATGTTTTAGGCAGAACTTGCTATAAGAGTCCATTGTTCACTATGAAAAATAATATTTGCACAAATAATCAAACTTGCTTGCATTGTAGGACTAAAACTCCCATCATGATTACTGACAAGGCATGATGAACATACCAAGCTGGCCCCACATGTTACAATTTGATGGTGCAATCTCTTTTCAGCTTTCCAACAACCATGTATTGTGACAACATACCGTATTGGCTATAAATTGAATGGATTAGTAGGCCTTTGCTTTACATACCTATTGATAATTCTAAAGCTGGCCACTTCCATTACAATCTGGTTGTACAATCTTCTTTATATCAGCAGTTAGTAGTGTGAGGGTAAGGCCTCATTGTACATTGGCATTTGCTGTTATGAGTAAGGCCATGTAGGCTGAAACGCGTAAACTATATTTTGTACTGCACACTGTGGTTTTCTGAATAAAAGCAAGATTTTAGAGCAATACTGTTGTGCAGATGATCTTTATGGGTATTGACATTTGCCCAGCTACTCTGAATGTCCTTTTACCTGGCAGGAAAATGCAGCATAAAAAATGTGCCACAGGCCGTGTTTACATTTAGGCTCATGACACATTTGGGGTTTAATTTATTCTATTGGCCAAAATATTAATTAATATTTTTTAAGAATGGTTATAATTATTTCTTCCACTTTAAGGAGCTACGTCGACAGTTTTTTGTTCACTTCAGTCAGGTTTGGCATTTCCATACAAGTCAATGGGGATGGAAAATGAGGTCAAAAGAAGGTCAACTGCAGCTCAAATGCACCTGCCTATAAGTAATCCCAAAAGTTTCTCAAGCTCATGCCATCAATACAAGCCCAAAGCCCATTGACATGGTGCTTGATGGGGATTACACAGAAATTGTACAATCGGATTGCACTGTATGTTTGGCCAATATTAGCTAACCAATACCTAAAGGAATACGTATTGCTATATCTGCTGGACACCAGAAACTGGAAGAGTTGATGTAATTTGGGTATGCAAGCAGTCTTTCTGGTACTTGTAATTCCCCGGCAGTTGAAGATATTAATATAATAATAATTCAGGATTTATATAGCGCCAACAATTTGTTCATCACTTTACAATATAAAGGGAGACGGTACAGTTACAATTCAGTTCACAACAGAAGGATTAGGAGGGCCCTGCCCCTGGAGCTTACAATCTAAACAAAAAAGAGTGGTGGTACAAAAGGTCATAGCAGTAGGGGGTGAGCTGATGTACAGATTTTTAGGTGGAGGTGGGTTAGGCTTCTTTGAATAAATGAGTCTTAAGTGATCGCCTAAAGACAGACAGGGTAGGTGATAACATGACAGACTGGGGTAAGAAGTTCCAAAGGATGGGAGAGGTTTTGGAGACATCCTGGAGGCAAGCATGGGAGGAAGTGACAAGGGAGCTGAAGAGAAGGAAGGAAGGTCTGAGGAGAAACGTATTCGAGATGGGGTTGGTGATGTATTTGGGGTTAGGGTTGTGGATGGCTTTATATGTTGTGTGCAGTATTTTGAATTTTATACGTTGGACTAGTGGAAGCCAGTAGAGGGATTGGCTAAGAGGGACTGCGGCCACAGATTGGTTAGTAAGGTGGAAGAGGTGGATGCTGGTGACCCCTACTCAGATAGTTTGGAAGATAAAAAGGAGACTCAAAATGAACCCTATTTTTGTTGAACCAATCAGAAATATGCTTTCAACATTTGCAGACAAACGTGAACATTTGTATTCGGCTCCATGCACATGGGGCATTTTAATAACGCTGGTAACGTTAGCTGTGTAAAGTCACATTAAAAACGTGAGTTTTTCAGCATTTTTTAGCATTTTTGTATTAGCGTCCAGTGGCATTTTGCCGCTTTTTTGCGTTTTTTTCCACGTTTGCATTTTTTAGCAGTTTTTGATAAAGAAAAAATCCAAAAATGCTGGTTTGCCATGATTTACCGGGTTTTTGCCGCGTTTTTCAGCATTAGAAGAGCATTTTTACAGCTGAAAAACACCTCTAGAAACCTACTAGTTCTGAGTTTTTTTTCCAGCCCAAAAATGCCCCTGCCAAAAAAAACGCTCATTGCAGTCTATGTGTGTATGGACACATAGGATAACATGCTGGGGGGGTTTACTGGCTGTAGAAAAAAACATCAAAAGCCAAAAACAGCTGCTGTAAAAACGTCCCGTATGTATGAGGACTTAAGTTGCTGCGGGTTACAGCACTTTATATGTTGCTCTCCAGCTTTTTTCACGAAGCCTGTTATCTCCCCACTGCAGATCATTATCCTCCTGCTGAACATTCTGTTGGGTTTCAGAATCTGCCGGCTGGAATTCTGACTTGGAACCTCGCCGGCTGCGGTGCAAATTAGTGTCGTCTTCCTGTGTTTTCAGCGCAGGACAGGTCACGCCAGGCTACCCGGCAATCTAGCTGTCATTTCACCTCGTTATTTGGATAAGTCCGTCGCTCTGCTTCACCGTAATCCGTCTTATTGTGCTGCAATCTATACCTCTTGTCGTGTTTCTCTATAATATCCCACTGTCTGCCAGCTTTTCCGAGGGAGACGAATTCAGTATTTCACAAACAAACAGCAAATTTATGGTCAGCCGCATATTTTGGACCGATTGTCAATGGAAAGCACGCTAGATTTATAATGCCTGCTCCATCCGCCAGTCCCCAGACACGGGAAGTTAGATGGAAAGAGCCATGAAATTTGTATTTGTGTATTTCTCTGTTTATATATTTGTACCATGAAATATCCACTCAGCCGATGTTTTATTGGATCATGTCTGTTCCGATCTGTATTGACGTAATTGCACTGAAAAAAAAAACTGGGAACAGTTAGGCTAAGTTTAGATGTCTGTTTGGAGGGGGGGGTGTTAAATACGCAAGGTTGAACCGCACTTTTTGCCCCCCCAACTGTCTCCCCTTGGGGTTGTTCACATGCAATGGTTCGGACATGGTACTTCGCGGCTGCAGCAATTTATTTACGCAAATGTCCCACAATCTTGTGCAAAGCACGTGCGGCAGCATTGGGAAAAACGGGTTTAAAACAGGCGGTGAGGAAGTGTCACATTGCCTCCTTACCAGCTGTCAATCACCTCTAAAAAGTGATTTGAATGCAGGTCGCCTTTCAGAGGAGCAGTGGGTTTAGACTCCTAAACCTTGCCTTATAATTTTTGGAAATCTAATCACTGATCCAATCATTAAAATCTCATACGTGATTCATCATATTGTGAACCCTCACCTTGTAAAACAACCCATTTAGTTCAAAAAAGAAATGGAAAGCAAAACATTTGTATAGAGATATAAAACAAATTACAAATACCTTTTTGTCCCTTTTTTTTCATAAGTAATCACATACCCTCTGTTCTCAGCTGCATAAGGAGCTCAGAGAGCTGGGGGAGGAGAAACAGCAGAACACTGGTGTTCCCAGTGAATGGCTGTGCAAGGGTGGGGGAGGGTGTGTCAGGACAAGTCTGATCATTGGAGGAGGAGAGCAGGCTGAGTTGTCAGCACAGCTAGAGAACTGACCGCACTGTGGTCTCCTGCTTAGTGTGGTCAGTTTTTAATAGGAAAACAGAGGGACTGGCAGGAACACCATGGATTAGACACAAAGGAATTAATACAAAGGGAACAGGATACTTTTTCATACAAGTACATGGTACAGCAGCCACATATCAGGAATATGAAACGTTGAGTTTACTTATTCTTTAATATTTTTAATTTTTAATATTTAAACACCTCCCGCCCGCCATATAGTAATATGATGGACGCAAGGCAGTTCTCTCGTTCTGATAGGACATCATATTACGTCCTCCCATTATCACCGCGCATGCGTGGCTCAGGGAGCGTGCAGTGCGGTGATCGGCAGTGCGCTGTGTCCCTCGGACACAGCGGATCACCAATCACGGAAAGAGCCGAAGATGTCGACTCGGTCATGTGATCAGCTGTGTCCAATCATAGCTGATCACATGTAAACAGAGAAATGCCGGTTTTATCGGCATTTCTCTCCTCTCGAGCTGTCACGCTGACAGCTCGAGAGGAGAGGAGAGCCGGTAATTGGCTCTCCGCGGAGGGGACATGTACACTGATCATCAGGGCACTGATGATCAGTGTGCCCTGATGATCAGTGTGCCCTGATGATCAGTGTAGCCCCAGCAGTGCCACCTGTCATTGTCCATCAGTGCCTTGTGCTAGTGACCATCAGAGCCACATCAATGCCACATATCAGTGCCTACCAGTGCACATCAATGCCACATATCAGTGCCCATCTGAGCTGCCTTTCAGTGTCACCCATCAGTGCCACCTATCAGTGCTGCCAATCAATGCCATCTCTCAGTGCCTGTCAGTGCCGCCTATCAGTGCTGCCTATCAGTGCCATCTATCAGTGCCATGTATCAGTGCTGCCTTTCAGTGCCCATCAGTGATGCCTGTCAATGCCCATCAGTGCCACCTACCAGTGCCTTCTCATCAGTGCCCATCAGTGCCACCTATCAGTGTCCATCAGTGCAGCTTATCAGTGCCCATCACTGCAGCCTCATTAGCGCACGTCAGTGAAGGAGAAAAATCACTTATTTACAAAATTTTATAATAAAAACTAAGAAAAATTTTTTTTTCAAAATTTTCAGTGGTTTTTGGTTTGTTTAAGAAAAAATAAAAAACCCAGAGGTGATTAAATACCACCAAAATAAAGCTCTATCTGTCACAAAAAAAGATAAAAATTTCATATGGGTACAGTATTGCATGACCGCGCAATTGTCACTCAAAGTGCGACAGCGCTGAAAGCTGAAAATTGGCCTGGGCAGGAAGGGGGTATAAGTGCCCTGTAGGCTAGTGGTTAAACAATAACTGTTGCTCTGCCCATGAAAGTCTTTGTTCAGGTACTTCCTGTTATTGAGTGACAACCATCTCCCAATTGTGCTCCTGAGTTGTCACCCTGTCACATGCTCCCCCTGATGGAGAAAATAAGTGACTGTAGCTGTTCCAGAGCGATGATGATGTGCAGCTGATGCTGGAGCAAGTGTATGTAGATAGGAAGCGATCGAAAACAGCTGGAGGAGATCAGCAGGTTTGAAATGCAAAAAAAAAAAAAAGGTGAAACAGTATTTTATGAAGAATAAAATGTGGCTATTGTTTATGATACACAGAGCTTTAGCTAAGTACATGCTATCCCGTTAAGGTTTAGATCTACTTAAAAAAAAGTATCCAGGCTGGAAAAAGAACAGATATTTTGATAAAAATGCTTAATTTTCATAAAGACACAGTCCACCCAGGAAAATTAAATTTTATTTTCTTATAGATGCTAGAAAGAGATAAAAGAAAGATGCATTCCAGGTATGGCATTTTTTTATAGTTACAGCTTGGATCGAATGTAAGTATGTATGTTCCATACCTGGGGGATCCCTCTAGAACAGGGGTGGGCAAACTTTTTGACTTGAGGGCCGCAATGGGTTCATATATTGGACCCGGGGGCCGGACCAAGAGTAGATGAATTATGTGTATGTGTCATCCATAGTAAGTATAGTAATATTCCCCCATAGTAAGCATAGTAATTAATCCCCCATATAGTAATTCATCCCCCATAGTAATTCATCCCCCATAGTAATTCATCCCCCATAGTAATTCATCCCCCATATAGTAATTCATCCCCGATATAGTAATTCATCCCCTATAGTAATTCATCCCCCATAGTAATTCATCCCCCATAGTAATTCATCCCCCATATAGTAATTCATCCCCCATGTTAATTCATCCCCCATATTAATTCATCCCCCCTATAGTAATTCATCCCCCATAGCAATTCATCCCCCATATAGTAATTCATCCCCCATATAGTAATTCATCCCCCCTATAGTAATTCATCCCCCATATAGTAATTCATCCCCCATATAGTAATTCATCCCCCATAGTAATTCATCCCCCATATAGTAATTCATCCCCCATATAGTAATTCATCCCCCATATAGTAATTCATCCCCCATAGTAATTCATCCCCCATACAGTAATTCATCCCCCATATAGTAATTCATTCCCCATATTAATTCATCCCCCATATTAAGTCCCCAAGTCCCCCCTGTGTCAATTCACTTACCTTTGCTCCGCGCGTTCCTCTCGCCGTGTCCCGCGCCATTCCGGTGTAGCATGAAAATCTGTCTCCTATGAGGATCTGTCCCCCTCGACGTATCTGCGCATGTGCCAGTTTCAGGCATTAGCAGCCAATCGGTGATCCCCGGCACATGCGCAGATACGTCGAGGGGGACAGATCCTCATAGGAGACAGATTTTCATGCTACAGCGGAACGGCGCGGGACACGGCTAGAGGAACGCGCGGAGCAAAGGTAAGTGAATTGACACAGGGGGGACTTGGGGACTTCAGGGCGGACTGTGAGAGGAGCCTAGCTCCGCGGGCCGGATTAAAAGGTCCGCCGGGCCGTATACGGCCCGCGGGCTGTAGTTTGCCCATTGCTGCTCTAGAAGCTGGAAATCACTGAAGCGGACACCACTAGTCTAGTGACACAAAGAAAAATGTCACTGATACAGGTGAAAGAAACGAGTCCATAGAGGTTGTCCTAGGCTGCGCTCCTCTTCCAGCCATGAGGAACTTTGCAATGCATAGGCCTAACTGCGCACTTCAGACAGGAGAGATCCATAGACCAATGGCCAAAAACAGACAAAAGAGAGGGGGCACCAGACTTGAGCATTACCATGAGATCATTTTTTCATTCCAACTGTATAAGCTCCAATATACTAACAAACATGACTAGGGTTGTTCAGATACACCTGTTGTCTATGCCCACTATAAAGCTGCCCCCCATTTCCACCCTCTATTTCCTTAAATGAAGACACCAACACCCAAAATTTAGTAAATGGCAGAATTGCCCTTTTATTAAACAAAAAACATAATAACAAGAAAAACATTCACCGTTCTAAACAATCCAGCTCCAAGAAAAGTTACGAATCCTTGACGACACCATTTTGGAGTCCGTGGTACCATTAAGCTAGGTTCTATCCCCAGCAGCCAAACACCGCCAGGACTATCCTAACTGACCACAGACCCCTACCAACCTTACCTCCCCAGTCAGTCTAAACTGAACCAGACCAACCGGAGGACTCCATACCTGAGATGGGTCCCACCGTTTTACCAATATACCAAGTTTTTAGACCCTCGTCAAGGACCCCCAGCCGCACCCCACCTCCTCCAAACCATGCAATTCCAATTACCAGGGTAGGGAGTGAGGGACTTTCCACTGATGATTTCCAGCTTGCAATTGACACCCTTCACTCCACCCCACCATTTACTGTCTTCAGCTCCTCCCATCACCCCGTTCACTCCTCCAATCTGGTAAGTGTGCTCTATTTTCATATATCAACAGCACCTTAACCCTATCCTGCCAGGTTTTACTTCCACCCTGTCATGTATGCCCCGCACTTATTCTCTTCTTTCAGAGCTCTGGGCATGTCTTGAATGATTGCAAGCATATAATCAATCCAGTCCAAATTGGCAAGCAGTGCTCATTTTTATGGACGTAGCTTACACGTTTCAAGGGAAGTTGGATGAGTACCGCTTGCCAGTTTGGGCTGGATTGATAACATGATTGCTGTCATTCAGGTTTGTGAGAACATTGGAGTCTATACACTTGGAATAAAAGGGTTTCATGGTAATGCACGAGGCTGGTGCACCCTCTATTTTGTCTGTGTTTACACCACTACTCCAGTGATCTCCATTAGTTCCTGTGCCGGGCCACTGCCTTGCTGCTCAGCACAGATGCCATTCAGAGAATAATTTGCATTTTCTCAATTAAGAAGACCTCGTGGTGGTGGGAGCCCCTACAACTTCTAGTTTGGTGGGAACAGAGTCAGGAATCCAAAACTCTAAACCCATTGAAAGGTGGGTGGGAAAAAAGCTAGAAATTATGGTGAGAAGATCTCAGTCCTGATGTTCCCAAAAGGCATAGGAAACCAGCAGATGGCTCCCCCTGCAATTCAAATATCACTTCTGTGTGGACTAGTAAATAAAGTAGATGTAAACCCTAAATCAGGGGTCTTCAAACTTTTTAAATAAAAGGGCTAGTTTACTACATTTCTGACTTTAGTTGTCCGGATTGTGGCCAGGGAGGGTTGAAAATGTCCTGGGACCTGCATCAGTGAGAATAAATATCGCCTCAGGGTTGGTAGTCAGTAGGAGGAGGAGTAGTGCACCATCATTGGTATTATTAGGAGGACTATCCTCCTTGCAGCCACTTCCTATCTACATGCACTCCAGCGATGGTAACATGGCTTTTCTTGGGGTTGGTTTCCTGATGTTGTGTTGAAACAGCCACTTGTAGATTCCATTGGTAGGTCTGTGTGACATGGTGACAATGCAGTACAATCAGGAAACAGGGAAAGAATGTTGTGAGCTTATAACAGGAAATGCCTAAAGATGGACCTATTAGGGTAGAATCATCAGGTTTTATTTTAATGAAAGCTATGTCTAAGCCACATCCCCTCTACAAGCTACACACTGACAGCCTAATCATGGAAACAATACGATTTCCGTAATTACCATAAAGTCTTTTTCTTGAAGAGAACTGAGGGACACAGGATAGTAGTAATTTTTGGACATATGAGTTAGAACTCAACCTCCCACCATCATGCCTCAGCCTTGTGAGCAAGCAATGCAGTAATACTTGTCTCACTCAATGGACCTCAAGAAAGTTATTTTTTGGTAAACACAAAAATCTTATTTTCTTTATTGCTCATTGAGGGACACAGGATAGTAATAAGTCTTGGCTTATAGTACGACATCTAAGACATCTAAGTGAGCAATGAGCCACTGAGCGATCCTACAGATAGAGAATTTTACCACAGGAGTAGAAGGAAATAATGCCTGAACTAGGGCTTTATGGAGAAGAGTTGATCTATTATAGAATAGTCAGTATCAAGGGAATGACATTGAGGATCAACCTGATTTTCTAGACCAGGACAGATAAATCCAGATGGGGAATCTAGAACCTAAAGGAGCAACAGCAATGGTGTTATTCCACGCCTCACGTGGTCTGCTTTTGTATATCCCACATGTCCAAGAATCACTACTATCCTATGTCCTTTAATGGACAATAAAGAAAATAAGGCTTTTGTACTTACCCTAAAATCTTTTTCCTGAAGTCAATTGAGAGAACACAGGTATTATTGTATAGCTTGCTCAAGCATGACAGTTGGAGGCAGGGTTATTCATTGGCTGGCCTAACATTGCTTGTTTACCATTGTCCAAACCTCCTGTAGATGGCAGCATAACCCACAAGTCCAAGAATTACTACTATCCTTTGCCCTTCAATGGATATTAAGGAAAATAAGATTTTTGTACTTACCACAAAATCTTTTTTGTTAGGGGT